TGATGCAAGCTGCTGCTGAATAACAGGAATTGGCTGCAGTGATGTTGGCAGACGTCTGCATGTCCTTGCAAACTTCATCTGGCAGCACTTGGGGTGACGTGCTGGCAGTGGCTTCGTGGCATCCTTCAGGAAGCGCCTTCCGCCTGGCTCTCCCTGCCAGGCATCACTATCCCGTACTCTCCTGCAGTCACAAACTATTTGTCATCAACTCGGTGCCGACTTTTTCCCTCCGCCAGCATCCAAGGACAGGACCTCCGCTCCTAGTCCTTCTATGGAAAAGGGGAAGGCATTTGGCCTTGCAAGTTAAGACTGTTCACAACTCTGGCTCCTCTATCAGAATGTCAGGGTTCGAGTCCTGGACCTCATTGCTGTGCCCCCCGGGACACAGTGGTGACAGTGAAAAAAGGAGGGGTCTGGGTGGGGCTCCCCCTCCTGGTTTCGTCTCTGCTCCCTCCGGGCCATCGTGGACATCTGGGGAATGAACCAAGAAATATGGGAAATTTCTGCCTGTTATGTCTGTGTCTCTAATAAAAATTTTTGTTTTGTTTTTCTTGTTTTCTAAAGATGTATTTGTTTTTATCCGAGTCTGATGTACAAAGGAAAGGTCTTCCATTCTCTGGTTCACTCCCCAGATGGTCACAGTGGCCAGAGCTGAGCTGATTCAAAGCCAGGAGCCGAGAGCTTCTTCCAGGTCTCCCACACAAGTGTAGTGTCACAAGGACAAGGACCATTTTCTCTTGCCTTCCCAGGTGCTTCAGCAGGGAGCTGGATTTGAAGTGGAGCAGCTGGGACTTGAATTGGTGCTCATACAGATGCCAGCACTGCAGGAGGAGGATTAGCCTGTTAAGCCACTGCTCCTGCCCTTCAAATTCTTCTTAAAGTAAGCAATGACTTCATCATCCTACCATAGAAAAGTATCAAAACATCACATTGTACTTCCAATACACACACTTGCCTAATGAAAAATAAAATTCAAATGGAAAGCATTTATTGAACACCTACTGTTGGCCACGTGCTTTCAAGACAGTATTTAATATGGTCCTCAGAGTAACTCGAAAGTGGCTCTTGGTATCCCAGTCCTGCAGGATTTTTTTCTGAGCTGCATGAGATCATAAATGGAAACTCGTGAAGCACAATGCGTAGCAGACAGTAACCAGTCTGATACACATCAGATACCATCATAGACTCAGTGTTCAGCAGCAGGCCTGGCCACATGAACTTCCCTGAACCAATCAGCATGGTCAGGGGGCGGTGTTATGTTAATTAGATCTGGCTACACACAGCAGATCCCTAATAAAAACCTGGAGGGAGGAGAAGGCAAGATGAAGAGCCATCAGCTCTTCACATCTTGGGTCCATCTGCCTGTCCTGAAAATTCCAGCAAAAAGAAAAGAAGAGGGAAAAAAATCCAATGAAAAGGCATGAAAACTTTTCTCAAAGTTTATCTTGTAGTGCAATTCTCTCCTCAATCAACAACTTTCTTCTGATTCTCTTTCCTAAGTTTATAAAAAGCCAGCACCCTTTGATGCCAAGTCCTTCTCCAGACGCACCAAACACCTCCAGGGATAGTGTGTCCACGCCCCCACTGGGCACAGCAGGCATGCTCTCCTCCGCCCTGTGAGCCTGGGCTTGGCACTGGAGTGGCCAGCAGACCTGGCACTGTTGCCTATGCTGCTCATATGACAGCAGAACATTGCCAGGCCAAGGGACAGATGACCACTTGGCAGACGTGTGTGCACCTGCGGGCACGACTGAGGGCGCACACGTATGTTCACATCTTACCATTACAGAGCCAGAGTGGCTGTTCCTGTGAAAACCCATTTCCCCATGAAATGTCCATAGAATCCACCTCTTCTATGAAAATCCATCTCATCAGTGGAAATAGTGATCGTCTAGGAGACAGAAACATGGACGTTAGCTTGATCGTCCATCTACGGCTGTGCTTCTGGCTAGCACTTCTGAGCGTCTACTCTCCAGAGACGTTTTATGTGTTTAAAACCCTCTGCGGGCTTCCTTCGGGGGCCAAGTATGTGCAGGGCAGAACCAGGCTGGACTGCAACACCCATTGGTTCCAGTGGAAGTCGGGAGTGAAAACAGAACCAACCCAGCAATTGCAACCACCAGCTGATTGGAGCGATGGACGGTGCCAGGCCCTGTACTTGTTAGCACATACAAGAAGTTTCTTTGGAGATCTTCCTAATCTAAATGCTGGACTCAGAACCCTAACGAAGAAAAGAGAGAAGACAGAACAGGTCAACCAACCATCTCAGCTATGATGGACTATGTCAATCAGTGGATTTTTCAAAGACCTCATAGTGCTTGGAGTGGCAAGATTGACAGCAATTCATAACTGTTGCAATATCAAAACCACTTGAGCAAGAACCTCAGAGCATGCCCTACATCCGGGACCTGGGGAGGGTGGGAAAACGGGTGGGCCTTCTCCCTTCATGCCCCCCTTTAAACATGAAGGTAACAATATGGAAAACATACTAGTCTTATCCACTTTCCTGTAGCCCTTGAAACTTCTTACCCTAATTAACTATGTAAAGAATGTCAAAATAAAAATTAAAAAAAAAAAAAAACCCTCTGCGTGCTGACACCATAAGGGGCTTTTTCTGTGAAAGCAGCCATTTAAAAATCGAAACATAAATTATTGCTACTGATTTTCTGGTGTTTTGCAAATGTTGGCTAAATATTTTGGGAGGGTAGGTGCTGGAATAGCAATGGAAAGAGATGAATTACCTGAAGCATTGTACAAACACATCAAATTAAAACTCCCTGCAGCCCCATCCAATGGGACGTGAAGGGCTGGGGGTGGCTGCAGATGCGAGCACAGCTGGCAGAGAACCTCTTGGGAAGATGCTCCAATCCTCAGATATCTATCCTTCATACGTCAGAGGTGCTGGGTATGGATTTATTGTTTTTGCTTCCTTATCAAACTTAAATTCCTTCAGAAATTCCACCTTCATCTGATCCATTGAGAATCCTTGCGTTGTCTATAAACTCACACTTAGGGGATGACATGGTGACACTGTGGTTAAGCCGCCACATGCAGTGCCGGGAGCCCATGTGTGAGTGCTGGCTTAGGTCCCGGTTGCTGGGTTTCTGATCCAGCTCCCTGCTAACGTGCCTGGGAAAAGCAGCGGGAAGATGGCCTGGGTGCCTGGGTCCCTGCCACCCATGTGGGAGACCCAGATGGAGTTTCAGACTGCTGGCTTCTGCCTGGCCCAGCCCTGGCTTTTGTAGCCACTTGGGAAAGTGAACCAGCAGACAGAAATTCTGTCTTATCCTCTCTATGCCTTTCAAACAAATAAATCTTTTTTTTTTAATCCTACATTTAAAAATATTTAAAATGAGAAGATTCAAAAGAAAAATAAACCCCCCTGTCATTTAAAAATAAATGTCACTGCCTTCTGGTAATGAACTCTGGGGACAATGTACAAGTCCTGTTCCCGAAAAACCGGGGAGAAAGACAAGCCAGCGGGCCTACCTGTGTGGACACACCCCGATCTCTATTCTTTTTGAAACCAATCTCATTCATGTTACTGGTTCGAGAAGGACCTAAGTTTGCAATCTGCCTGGAGACCTTTGCCTAAGTGTGCTTACTCACTCTGAGCCCTGAAGTCCCTCCCCCTGGAGCTGGACACGCTTACAGGAATGACACATACTCACCTGCACGGAGCCAACAGCAAGCAGCCTGCCTTTCCGTTCTTTCCAGAAACCACTCTCTTGTCAGCTTTTCTGTCTTTCACGAAGACTTGGCTGCCCTGTGAAGGATTCTAACAACCCAGAGGTGAAGAGCAAAGCTGCATTTGTGTCTGTGAATGGGAGACAGGGAGCTGGACAGGCAGGCAGGGCGCATGAGCGATGATGAGTTCTTTGGTCCTTTGCCAACACCAGCAGGTGGGGGGGCGGCAGGCTGGTACCACGGTCCTGGTCTCTCAGGGGGAAACCACTGCACAAGGTTCACAGCATCCACCACCTGCAAGGCTATGTAGGGAGAGCCCAGCCTGCCGTGGCCCCATCCCCACAGGCCAGGCCATCCCCACACCCACCTGCCATTTCAGGAGCCCGTTTCTCACGGTGTCTCTCTGCCTTGTTGGTGAACCAAGGGCAACCACACTAACGTTCCTGTGGTTTTTCTGTTTCTCACAAGAAGCTCGTGCTGAAGAGTCACCCAGGATACACTGTGACCGCAGCCAGTGCTTCCTGCCTGCAAACGTTTCCTCTCCGCGCACACCAGCAGCTTGCACTTTTCCCACAAGGCTGCCATCTATTTGTGCTGGAGATTCGAGATCCTGAGATCTTCTGGCCCAGAAGTTTCCATAAAATATGGGACTCGCCACTTTGATCATCAAGATGAAGCTGTCAGCCAACATTCCTCCTTTTCAAGGCTACACGCTGTAGTACTGTCTTCTTAAAGATGATGTCACAATTTATGCTTTAGTGGACCACGGGCAGAGGGAGAGACAGAGGAAGATCTTCTGCCTGCTGGTTCATCCTCCAAATGCAGGCAAACAGCCAGGCTGGGTCAGGCCCAAGCCTGGAGTCATCTGGTCCCTCTCAGGAGGCAGAGGCGCAGGAACGAGTCCAGCTACCCGGCTGCCTCTGTGGGTATCATTCAGGAGGCTGGAGTTGGGAGCAGAGCTGGAAGTCCAACCCAGGCATTCTGACATGAGCATTCCAACGGCCCCTGAACCACTGTGCCCAACAGCCTCCTCCACCCTCCCTCCTTTGTTTTTAAGGTAAATTTATTTGTATTGGAAAGGCAGAAACACAGAGAGAAGGAGAGACAGAGAGAAAGGCCTTCCCTACACTGGTTCACTCCGCAGATGGTCCCAATATCCAGAGCTGAGCTAAGCCAAAGCCAGGAGCCAGGAGGTCTTCCTTGCCTCCCACGTGGGTGCAGGAGCCCAAGGGACTTGAGCTGCTTTCCTAGACCATAGCAGAAAGCTTCATTGGAGGTAAAGCAGCCAGGATACATATTGGCACTCATTTGAACGGGTGCCAGTTCTTACAGGTATAGAATTAGCCTGTTGAGTCAACACATCAGCCCAGCCTACCCTGTTTTAAAATATGTCAGAGAAACCATGAGCACATTTGGCATCGCTTTCAGGAGCTGTGACCTCATGAACAATCTCCATGGCCAGGTCTCAGTAGGGGCTTTCCCGGGCCTCGATGCCGACCGGGGCAAAGCAATGACCCTGAGCCCCTCCAGCTGAGTGAGCTGATGCTTCCGGCCGCCCAGCCTTGGGGCTGTGCCCACCCATTCACCCACTCTGTGACAGCATGCTAGGTACCTGCACACCTGTGACCAAGATGGAGACACCCGCAGTGTCCGGCAGCCGGGTCTCCTTCCTCCCATCACACACGACACAGGCTAGGGATTTTGCAACATTTAATCACAAAAGCAAATCTGGCATGTGAAGAGTTAGGTTTACAAACATGTCACATTCTGCATATTAGCAACATATCTATCTGTACACGGTCTACGAAAATACTCTGCGCGAAGACATCAGAAAAGACACCGAACGGGTGAATGCATGAGACTGCAGCGTTCTGCAAATCAGGATCCAGTGTACTCGTAAACCAGCCACGGCCGGCCAGCTGAGCTCAGTATATAAAAACGTTCATTAAATACAGTTCTCTAGGAATACTGTACATCATACCTACAGCTGCTGGGACAGTGAGGACCTTTCTTCTTTTCCTTTTCATGTATCCACACGGCCCATCACTGCGCAGTCCTGGATCTCCACGCTATAAAACTGAAATAGGCGTTTCCGGCGTAGCAGATGGTGACCAGGAAGGCAAAGAACTGCAGGAAGTAAAGCATGACGGGAGCTGGGGTTACAGCCCGTTCTCACCAGCGCCAGCGAGCATCCAGCCTCCAGCACACTGGCTGCCCTCAGCCTGCCCGTGGCTCCGAGCTCTCTCCATGGAAACTGGCTTTATGGGCTCGATTGCCTTTCTCAAAGACTCTGGGCAAGGCTACTTGCCTCTCATTTTGCTCTAATTCTCTCGGCTGGTTCACCGAAGGGTGAATATGGTGGCTGTATAGCAGAATAAAGTGCCAGCATTTCTAGTCCGGGATGGGACACACTCTCTCACAGGCGATCGAGTGGGCTGGGACACTCAATGCATACCATGTGGTTGGTGCCTGTGGTGGCACTGGGGGAGCAGGGAACAGCTGCTGCCAGTTCTGGCTGCAGTTCACCTGTGCCCTGTCCTGGCCCAAGCCTGTGGTTTCTATCCCGCCCCCCCATCACCCCTCAAACAAGGATTTTCAAAGATAAACAAAAGGGAAGACTGTAAGGGCCCCTCTCCCCTTTATTGTCCCATCACGCAGCTCTGTCACTGCCATTCTGGCATGGGCAGATGGGATATTTTAAAGCCAGTCTCAGAGCAGACGTTAAACGTGGCCTGTTTGAGTTGGCTAAGTGATGCACCTGGCCTGGGGGTACAGGAATGCAGAAGCACACCTGTTATAAAGCAGAAGGGACCTCCTTCCTCTGCCCTTGCTTCCCTGGCTCAGTCCAGGGCAAGGAACCTCCCTTGGGGTAAAGTCCTCTAGCCCTTCTCAATGCGTAAGTTACATCTCCACTCCCGTCGAATCATCTTACGCTCACTTCCAGCATCCTTTCCTGCCTTCAACTCCCGGGCAAGCCCCATTATCCCTGGGATGTCTCTCATAGCATCCCTTCCTCCCCATCCTGGCCTGGCCTGGTACCGAGGCCCTGCCCACTTTGGATGTCTTCGAACCAGGCAGCCAATCACGTGCAAACAGCCTCATCTTCCTCTTTGATCCCAAGCAGCCCCTGGGAAGGAGGGGAGGGTCCTCAGGGTGGGGCTGGGAGGGTTCACTCACCGATGAGGCAGCCCAGCTGTTGAAGTTGTGACTGTCCCTCTCCGGGGAGACAGACGAGGCATCAACGACGGCGGCCGAGAGGTATAAGATGAAGGCACTGCTGTTAAAGCACAGGCCCTGGGGACGGTGGAGGGAGACGGCGGTCAGGGAGGGAGGCTCAGGCTGCGGGTGGCCCTCAGCAGTGGACAGAGCTGCGCCCGAAGGCAGGAGTGAGCCCATGGGTTACAGCCAAGGGCCATGCTGAGATGTGCCCGGCCCTTGGCCCTGCTTGGAGCCAGGCGAGACCTCCCCTGGTAAGACGGCTGATTCCTAGCTGAGGCAGCAGGCTTCGGTGACCATGGCTGGGCCAGCAGGCTCGGGTGACGGGAACGCAGGTCTGCCGCTGCACCCCAGGGCCAGGAGCTGCATCACACACCACTTCCTCTTACATCCTTTTCTGAGCTCAGTCCCCAGCCCACCTTGTGGCGCAGTGGCTCGGAGGTGTGGGCAGACACAGTCAGCTGGTCACAGGCCTGACCAAAAAATTCTGCTACTTGGGAAGAAAATGGATTCTGCAGAATGCAGGGCAGTCCTGGTCCCCGTACTGGAAACGGAGTGTCTCCTCCGAGGGGTGACGGGGACCCCTTAAAGAGCCTGGGTGCAGCACCTGCCTTCCTGAGCCTGCACACCAGCAGCAGCCAAGTACTTCTTCCTCTGGTTCCCCTACAAAGCCACCCGCTCTCCCTGGTAGCTCTCACTGCCGCTCTGTTTCATCATCATCATGAGTCTTGCACTGGCCTTCCCCCAGACCCCACACAGCTCATGACCGCTGGCCCCTCCAGTCCCCCAGTCTCCATTGCTGAGTGTTGGAGGGAGACACACTGTGTCCAGTGGAGGAGAATGTCCTGGCCAAGGTTGACTCTCCCATCCCCTTCTCTATGCCACTGGCGCCCAGTCGATGCAGTAAGGCCCTTAGATGGGCGGCTTCGACATCTCTTGCAAATCTGCCAGAAGGCACACCCCTGGGTCTCACTGAGCCAGCCTGCCTGCAGCCAGAGTACCCTGGGGACATCCGGGTAGGATGTGGTCTCAGCTGTATACAGGAAAACAAGAGGGGAATATGACCAGCAAATAGGAGAAAGGCTGCAGGACGCAGGCGTGGAGCCACGGCTGGCTCCTCCCATGCTGCCTCTCTCTAGCTCTGGGTCTTGACCATCCTTCCTCTGGCCTGGCTGCTGGCTGGCCCTGCTGCCACTCTCTCCTGCTTGAACAACATCTCGAGGTGAGCACCTGGCTACCCAGGCTCTCCTGGGAAGACATGGTCACAAGACCACAGCGAAACTAACTGAGGATGGACAGCTCAGGTATCATATCTCAACATCACGCCTTCAAGGAGCAGAGGCATGTGCTCCTCCTGGTCCTTTTTCTGCCTTCTTCCCTGCTGACTAGAACACAGAAGGGAGGAAGACAGCATGCAGGTGGATCTCACACAACACAGGCTCCTCTCTGGCCTACGACAGGAGACAAAGGTATGTTTAAAACCAACACTACTTCAGGCCTGTCACGGGAATCCAACCTGTAACCAGACTCTACTCTTACAAAATGGGGAGAACCACACCCCTCCCACTAGCTCCAAGCCAACAACAGCGAGTGTTAAGGAACGTGTCAACCACAAACCGCTCTGCTGTGTAATCTGCATTTACTCCTGCTTAACGATGCTACTGGGTAGAGGCGGTCCTTTAGAACCAGACTGACCATTCCAAGTAAGTGACATGGGAGACAGAAAGACTCACAGATGCCCGTGTGACATGGTGTCACCAGGCAGCAGCGGCCCACCTGCACCTGCAGGTGCCAGGCAGCAGCATCGACTGGAAGAAGCCTTGGGTATATGGCTTAGCCCTTGCTGTTAAGTCACGTCCTTGATCTGGGTACCAACTTTGGGGGAAGGAACTTTTAAAGAGAAGGGGGGCTCTGCACTTCAGAGCCAACACTTGAGGCTGGCACGAAGTGACTGTGCCCCCTCTGCAGCTAACGAGCATCCTCTCGTGGCCTCCATTCTTTCTTGGGCGAATGACTGGGAAAAACTAATGCCATGATGTGAACTACCAAGGAGCCAGAGGTCCCTGGGCAGCAAATACAGACTAGAAATAGACCAGGTTCACAGTCACACGAAGACCCCAGCCCAGTCCTGGGACACCAGCACTTCCTCTCAGAGTACTGGAATTTGATACGGAGTCTCTCACTTCTGCTTCTAGTTTCTGGTCAGCAACAGGTGATCACTCAAAAAGTGGTTGGGTCCCATGAAAGACCTGGACCAAGTTCCCAGCTGCCAGTTTTTGGTCCAGCGCAGCCCTGATGGACATTTAGGAGGAATGAACCAGCAAATGAAAATAAAACAAAATAAAAATAGAAACAAATAAAAAAGATCACCTTTCTCTAATTTGACAATACTGAAATCCACAATTCGCCCCGAGATCCCACAGTTACTATGACTTCAAGCAGTAACTCTCTTCGGATTCCAACACGCAGGTGGGTCTGCCCTTCCCCACACTGATCCTCCAAGGCCACTTCCCTGCCCTGGTGGTGGGGCTATCTGCAGAAGCTGCAGCACATTCTTAAAACTGTCACGGGAGCCCTCACCTCCAGATGAGGGGACCAGCCAGGTGACAGGCAGTCTGTTCTCTTGTGGCGCTAATCTGAGCTCTGAGGGTTACTCAGGGGCACTGTGAGGAACGCTGGCATTGAAAACCCACCAACTCCAGCCCAGGCTACAATCCGCCGTGGGCCATGTTGCAAATCCAGTCCTGTACCCTGGGTATTTCACTGATGCCTGGATGGAAAACGTCACACAGCGTCCCTTCAGAGGTCCCTTTATACATGCATGTGGCACCACTTGGAGGTTATCTGTTTTTAAACTGACAGGGACACTTCAAATTTCCACTGGATGGCCAATAGTGCACACAGAGGAGCCTGTGCTGCGGTTGGTACAAAGCTACACATTGCCTGTCTCTTTCAGAACAGCTGCCTCTGTCCCAAGCTGAGTTGGTGGCTTTGGCCCAGGGCACGTGGCTCAAGGTCCGCGTTCTCTCTCCACATAGCCTTATCCAACCCGACCCCCATCCCGACTGCATGTCTGCCTCTGTGCATCCTGTACCCAGCATGGAGAAGAAGGACACCTCTTTGCTTTCAACTGCAGTTTTCTTCCAACTCTGTACACATCACACTCCGACACGCAAGAGCTGTGGTGTGCAGAGGGTGGAGGAGATGGCAGTGTATGTGTGTGTTTATTTAGCTGACAGGTAGACAGAAAGAGATAGGGTTGCCATCTGCGAGATCTCTACCCAAATGCCCACGGATCGACAGCCAGGGCTGGGCAAGGCTGAAGCTGGGAGTGCCATCTGGGGTCTCCCATGTGAGTGGCAGAAAGCCAAGCATGGAAGCCATTGCTGCTGCCTCTTGGGGTCTGTGTTCAGAAGGAAGCTGGAATCAGAAGTTGGGGCAGGGGAAGGAACTCCGGTACCCTACTAGGAGATCTTAACCACTAGGACCAACACCCACCCCGGAAGGAGTTTGAAGGAGACTCAGGATCTGCAGAGGCTGGTCCCTGACATGTCTGTTCCCATGAATACTTCTTTAAGGGAAGTGACCATACAAATGTTTCCATTAGGGAGCCCAATTCTTCTTGATTTGGTCTTCTGAGAATTGGTTTAAAAACACTGGCCTGAAACATTGGCCAGAAAAGTTGCAAAACTTGGCAATGGAAACATTCCCGGCTCTTCCAATGCAGGCCAGGGGCACCTTTGGGTGTGAAACACGCGGAAGGCAACCAGACCTGCTCAGCAGCTCCGCTGTGTTGGCTTCTCTGCGGCTTGGCCCACTCTGCGACCAAGGGAGAGCCATAACCCACCCTCGCTCCGCCTCCCCACTGCAGCGGGCATGGGACAAGAGCAAGACTGGCAGTTTCCTTACCACTGTGGTCCAGGGCACCTGGGGAATCCTGGTGTAGGTCATGGTTATGTAGAGGATGAGGAAGAAGACGGTGAGCACCCAGTAAAACACAGCGACAAACATGACCCAGCCGAACGCTGGGACCCGGAAGTACTCGGTGCCGGCGATCAGTGTCCATACAAGCAGTCCTAGGACCTGGGAGGGGGTGATGCGGGAAGGGAAGCAGAGAGAAAGAAAGAGAAAAAAGCATAGTTATATAGTAGCCATTGCAATTCTTCTGCACAATGCATGGATACACACACACACACACACACACACACACACACACACACAAACTTCAAACTGCAGTGTTGGGCAGGTAAGAGAAACCAGCAGAGCATCTAGTGCAGCGGCCACGGCCAATGCGTGCGAAGACCTTGTGTTTTGTTCTAAGCGGTGCAATCTAATGGCAGCCAGAGAGCCGCGCCTGCTCTCCGTACCCCACACCAATGCAGGAAAGTTGAGAAACGCCAAGTTTGTAATTGTTCATCTCGCCCTTTAGACACAAGTACCACTTCAGGGTCTTAAAAACCAAGCAGGACAAAGTAACATTTGTGGCTGACAGCTGCTCACAGGCAGACACTGGGCAAGGAAATGCCACTGCAGGTCCACTTGGAGGTGGACCCTGGGCCCACTGGGCTCTCAAGGGACAGGCCTTTGGGCACTCCCCAGCTGCATGGCTGTCCTGCTCACTGATGGCCAACAGTGTGTAGCCTGAGATGGCCACCGTCAGGAGGGGGGATGAGCCAGGGAGCGGTCCAGGGGAAAGACACTGCTTTAACACAAGCAGGGCAGTCTATTCCTGCAGCAATGGCAGAGACCGCACCCAAGTCAAATCAACATCCCCCTGCTGTCCACAGGAGGACGTCATTGAGACAAAGACACTGCGGCTGAGTCTGAACACGGGAAAGCCAGGTGAGCTTGTACTCTGACAGGGGCCCACCACTGGACCAGCTTCTGTCTCAGAGTGGTCTCCACCCCATTATAACTGTTAGGTCTGTCCTGGAGGGCAGGTGCAGAGGCTAAACAGGTAAAGAGACTAAAAGGTCCCCTCTTTAAGCCGGCAGCTCTCTCAACTGCAAGAGACGCTTAATGGAGATGTGTTTTTGTGCTCGCGTCTGTAGCAACAAGATTTATCGAAAGTGAAGTTGCACCAAATGGGCTGTAATTCCAGAAAACGCAGAGCCTCACACTAATGGAATTTTCGGGCTGAGTTCCCCATATTTGACAGGTAATCCATACAGACAACTGCATTTGACATTCCGCTGGATTGGTGGGGCTGGAAACAGATTAGATGGAGCCCAGCCATGTGTGGAACAACATTTTGGGCTTCTCAGTTCAAATGGATCCAGATGGGTGAGAGTTTCCAGGCCACGCTTGGGTCTAGTCACAGGCTCAACCCCTCAGCCTTGGCTCTGACCGTGGAGGCATGAGTCGTGCCTATGGCTCAGTGGGAACTGTCAAACTAGGTACAGACAACTGGGAACTAGGCTGTCTTACAAGGAGCGCACTCACTCAACTCACAGCCTTAGCAGACACCCTCTAAAAACAACAGCCCCATCGGTAGGAAGAGCACCCTACCCAGGTACATCTCCGAGGTAACAGAGCCCCATCCGGAGGCAGATGGCTCTTCTCCCACTGCGACCCAAAGCCATGAGCTCAACCGAGGGCTTCCACGTGGCTGGCAGGAACTTGAGCCATCGACGGCTGGCTCCGGGCTGCACACTGGCAGGAAGCTAGAGCCGGGAACTTCAGCTGGGGACTGAACCAAGGAACCCCGATTTGGGACACATCCCAACCTGGGGCTCTCACTGCTGGGCAACACACCAGCCCTTCACCCGATGCTGTGTCTAAATATAGGGAGTCTTCTGCCTTACAGGTGTGTTGTGCACAACGGTTAACTGGTAGTTCTGTTATCTACCTGTGCCTCTCCTGAAGGGAGGCCCTTCTCAGCGCAAGATTAGACAAAATTTTCCCACATGTGTTTAGCTTTCAAGAGGCCTTCAAAAAGTCCATGAAAAAAAGTGTACTATGAAAAAAAAAAAAACAAAACTAGTCATGGATGTCAAACTTCTCCTGCACCAAAACTTACTTTTTTAATTCTACTTGCCCTTGAACTTTGTGCAACTGAGTTCTGTGTATGGGGCAAGGAAAGGCTAATTTATTTATTTTTTTTTCTAGCAGATTGATGTAATATCAGTCATCAGTGACTGTCCACATACGGGGTCAGTTTCTGGAATCTTTGTTCTATTCTATTCATCTGTGGTTACTGTTGGGTCAGTGTCAATGGCTATGGCTGCTGCATGTTCTTCATGTACTTGAGATTTCTGGGTAAGATAAGAAATAATAGACCAAGGGGCCAGAGCCACCCATAGCTAGCTACCTGAGGCACCAGCATCCCATACAGGCACTAGTTTGTGTCCCAACTGCTCCATTTTCCATCCAGCTCCCTGATTGTGGCCTGGGAGAGCCAGGGAGGAAAACTTAAGGCCTTGGCCCCCGGTACCCACATGGCAGACCCGGAAGAAGCTCCTGGCTTCGATTGGCTCAGCTTGAGCCATTGTGGCTATTTGGAGTGAACCAGTGGATGGAAAATCTCTCGGCTTTTCCTTCTCTCTGTAACTCTGCCTTTCAAATGAAAACACATCCTTTTACCCTGCCATCCAATAAGCCAGGTAAAAGGGAATTCCAAAGGTGACCACAGGGGAGGCTCTCCTGGATGGAACATGAGGGGGTTCTATTAGCCAATGGGCCTGGCCTCTCCAGGGAGGCTCCTGGGAAAACATGAGACAAAGGAGCTACAAAGGACACCCGGCACATTAAATATATATATATGTGTGTATATACATAGTATAGTATTAACCTCAGTAAAACCCAAAGGAAATAATCATCACTCATTGCAAAACTCAGAGTGAATTAACATTTGCATGAGGATAATACACACACCACATAAGGCCCACACTCATCGTCACAGTGAGAAGGGCAGCCACACAGATGATGCTATGCACAGAGCAGCTTCTTGCCCCACATTGACACGCAGAGGCCCAACACCCTCACTCTGACGGCCGCAGGGGACAGGGCATTTGGGAGGTCACTGGTTTTGGATGAAGTCAGCAGGATGGGGGACTCGTGAGGGGACCCTGGCCTTGTGAGAAGGAGCAGTGGATGTTTGCTCCCCTCGTCCCGGCCCCCAGCCCCACAGGCAAGCCCAAGTGAAGGGAGAGCAGGAGGGCAGCTGGTATCAGCATTCCCAGGAGCGATATCTCAGCAAACTTCTTCTTGGACTTTGTCTCTGGAATCAGCAGAAACATTCCTGTTGTGCCTGCCACCCCCCCCCACCCCCTCCGCCGTGAACTCCTTCACCAGACTTGAAATCATTCACTATAAGAAGCTGCATTGGAAACGCCTCTTGTAGATTTATTTTCAGGTGCCCTGCTAGGAGGGGCTCCACCTGCAGAAGCCCCTCCTGGGGCAGCTTTAACAGGGCCAACACGTGGTGGCCCTGGCTCATCGCAGTTCTGAGTTCTCACCAGCAGCGACAGAAAGGAACACCGACATGGTCTGAGGCCCCAGCAAGTGAAGCCAACAGATACTGTGAACTGTGATAAAACCCATGACAACACACGGGGCTGACCACCAAAGTCAAGCACCAGAACCCAACCAAGACGGCAGGGCTGCAAGGGAGGTGGAGTTGAGTAGGCGAGATTTGAGGTGGTAGAAAAACCGCCATGCCTCTGAGCTGGATGCTTCTGCTAGCCACGTCAGTCTCCTGGGGTGGGGGGGGGGGGGGACTAGCCCTCAGACCGGGTGCAAGTCCAGGTGCAGGGCAGGTGGACAGGAGGCCTGCACTGAACACTGACATAGTCCGCAGTTGTCTGAGAGCCCAAGGATTGTCAAAGCTGGGGCCGCCCATAATGCCAACCTCCTACTGGGTGCTGCTTTGAGAGCTGGTTGCTCCACTTGTAAGCCAGCTCACTACTACTCCAGCTGGGGAGGCAGTGGAAGATGGCTCAAGTCCTTTGGTCTCTCTGCAATCTGCACTGAAGACCCGGATGGAGAGTCAGGCTCCTGGCTCTGGTCTGACCTATTCTTGACCACTGCAGCCCTTTGGGGGAGGGAAGCAGTGGGTGGATGATCTCTCCCAATTTCGTTCTCTGTTGCACCCTGTCATATTATCTTTCAAATAATAAGTCTTTAAAAACCAAACCGAGTAGAGTACATGGGACTTGATTACAAAGCCTGCAAAAAGGAAGCTGCTCGGCAGGCGTGGCGACCACCTGCACTCACCCACTAGAGGGTATCCGAGCACCGCTCACGAAGCCGGGGGAAGGCAAGACAGCCATAACGCGTTCCCTGGAGAGAGACGAGACTGCCATCTGTCTGCAAGTTCCTACACGTGAGACGCATTGTACAGAGGTGGTGGCACGTGGGAAGACAGAGCCCTCAGTACCCATAGCAGGCGTTGCCTGGAAACTGATCTGGCCAGCAATGTAGCCAGCTGGCTGAGATGAGGATGAGTTAATACAAAGACCCAGGGAGACAAACGGAATCCAGAGACTGCAGCCTCCTCCTTGGGGCCCTGCAGAGTTTTCAGTAAAGATTGCCAAACACACTACGGGCAAAAAATGTGTGGGGTATTGGTCAGTGGGCTTCAGGCCGCATCTCTTTCCCAGACGGGTCTTTGGCCCTTAGGGGCCTCTGCTTCCAGTCTGGAAGTCAGGGTGGCGGGAGAGGCAACTCTTAAACCAACAGTGGGGCCCAGAAGGGACAGACCTGGGTCACTAGGGGACTTCAAACCCCTTCAATCATGCCAGGAGCACGGGGGTTTGCATGTGGCCCTCCCTGCAGGTGTCCTGGCAGCAGTGCCCTGGGTACTACCTGCATAAGAACCACACTTGAAGCCAATGCTCAGGCCTCATTTTGCTCCAGCTTGAAGATTCCAGTCTGACTTTTTTTTCTTTAAGATTTATTTATTTTTATTGGGAAAGTCAGATTTAGAGAGAAGGAGACAGACAGAAAGATCTTCTGCCTGCTGATTCACTCCCCAGGTGGCTACAACTAGAGCTGAGCTATTCAAACCAGGAGTCAGAAGCCTCCTCCAGTTCTCCCAAGTGAGAGTAACCCAAGGTTTTGGTCCAATCCCCTCTGCTTTCCCA